TAAAGTTCCATGACAGACTTGATAGCAATTAGGAAAAGCTCATTGAGCTTTTCAAGTGCTTTCCTCAATAATGAAAAAGGCCACACAAAACTGAAATGAGAATTTTGGTGTATTTCTATTTTGTACTTGCTGATAATAATCCCCTAGCTGAAGGATTTTACAATTGACTGTGCAGACAAATCTATTTCAGACACTTCTTTCTTGATAGAAAACAAAAATTCCAAGCAGCATGTAGGCCTGCCACTGTGCAGCTCTCCAGGCCATCAGACTTTCATTCTGACATTAGAGACACTGAGCAGCAAGCAATAAGAAATTAATTTCTGCAAAGAAGAAATCCCAACTTGTTAAGTTTCAATATGAGCAAAACTGTTGTGTGGTACCTTGGTGGAATTGTTCAGTTTCATACCACATCTGTAGGCTTTTGCTATTTGTGGTGTCAGCTGGATTTCCTTTGTCAGCTGACGCCATTTACCACATTCTGGCTTTGTGCACTGCACCTACAAGTCAAAAAACAAACATGTTTTTACTTGCTGCTTGTGATTACAGATAAGATTAATGCAACTTAAATAACCAATTAGAAAGAAGCCAGACGTGGGAAAGTTGTAAAACATAGTTGTTAGATACATTCTTGTGTAATCATCAGGTAATATTTGATCTACAGAAATATTCTACCCATTTCTGCAAAACTGAATTTCTGCACAGAACCTAAGGCCAAAATTAATTCAATTCCCCATTACTATGGTTTTTCGGTAGACTTTGCAAGCATTACTTCAAAAATATATTCTTCATCACTTAGAGAAAAAAAAACAAAAAACAAACCTCAAACAAAACACCACTACCACCAAACTTTCTTCCATTCCCATCTTTCTTCTGCTCTTTTAACCAGGGAAATAACCTAATTTCAAAGTCTTTCACACTTATACTTTTCCTGCCAAATCTCATTCTACCTGAAAATCACAACTGCTGCTTCACTGAAAAGTAACAGAAGATTGGTCTTTGTAGGGTGTGGAGAAAGTCTCCAACAGTGGAGGAGCTGATCAGAATTTTTATCTTGAGCTTTTTCACAATCCTCTAATACTAGGGGGAAAAAAATACAAAAACTCAGCTGACCTGCTGCTTGAACAGCAGAATATCAGAAACACATCAGAACATCACATTCCTATTAAATAAATCACCTTTCACCTTACCCAGTAAGGAAGCTGTTGATCAGCCATAAAGGCTTTTGGACTGGGTTCACTTTTACCATTGCTGGTCCAAATCCTTTTCCAGGCAGTGTATTTCTCATAACCATCTTTATGGCTAAGAAGTAAGAGAAAACAGCAAGCAGTCAGAAAATTTAATATCTAGTTCACTTCAAGCAATAGCAGTTACTCTAAAATTGAACATTTTCTATAAGGACAGAGAAATAAGTCTGTAGAGAGCACTCTATTACTGCTGTTAAAAGGAGAGAATCATGGTTCTTATGACAGCAATCAATTGCATCCTGACCATTATGTCCAGTTGCTTATGAGCACAATTCCTGGTATCTAAGGCCTGGACTGAGTGATGAGTACTGCTAAGCACATAAGTACACAAAAGCCTGGGTAGAGCTGGATGTAACTCCCACTCAAATGGGAAGGAGCTTGGAGCTGAAAGCACTCTGTTAACCATGACAAGAGTCTTCATGGTCACTGAACTGCAATAGTTAAACTGATTTCTAATTGCTTTTTATTGTACTGCTTTAGAGAGGCAAGGTCTCCGAAATGCACAGTGTAAAGTGAACTTATAAAGAAAAACACATTTACTCATAATTTAAAATTCTCTAACATTGTTTTTAAAAAAGACAAAAGCTCCAGGATAATTGCAAATACACAAACCAGCCTGCCTAAACTAACTAGTTTTGTTCATGCTGCCCTGTTGAAGTTGATTAGTCCATACAACACCTGCAGTTTTATCATCAATGTCTAAGCCTCATTCTGAGCAAAGCAAGCACAGAGGACCAATCTTTGTATTATGTTTATGTGCATGATATTTCAACAGCTGCCAAACTTCAATAAGCTTTGAAAGGACACAACCTTAACTGATAAATTTACCTTCGGTAATAGTGGTCAAAACATTCATTGCAGAAGTGTTCCCCACAGGACAGATGATACCATCTAGACGTATACCCATTTTTTGCACATCTGTAATGCAGGAGACATAGAAATAGTTTTATAGTACATTTAGGGGAAAAAAAAAATCGTTCGATTGACATTAGCACGTTCTAGAATGGGAACAAAATATTCAGAACAAGCCAGGGCTTCATGTTACATTCATGAAGGCTGAGTTACACATTGCACTACAGCCATACAAATAACAATAAGGTCATTCCAATTGTCTCAAACATTTCCAGTTTCCAAACTAAGCAACACCAGATGCAAGGGAAGCAAAGAGTACACAATGTGCAGTTTTATAGTTGGTCTGGCTTTCAGCAGCCTCCCTCTAACAATGGTCAACTGAGCCTGTCTTTAGTACCCTAGAAGCAGGCATTTCCTGAACATGAAACACTGAATATGTGCTGTGACACACTAAGTGCTTTGGAAACATGTAAGGTGACAAAGCTCCTCTCCACAAGAACTTAGAGCTCCTTTACTTTGCTGTATTTTCTTCCAATGCTAGTGCAGAGTTGGGAGGGATCATTTAAATTAGCATCTTTCTTGTACATGTGATCAACTGATTCATAAGTCATTACAATGTTCTGTCCCCAGAACAACTGACAAAACTATAAAGGCAAATCTGAACACAAAACAGATGTTTCCTATTTTTTTTCTCATGTACAACTTGTGATTTTAACCCAGTGAGACAAAACCCTAAGGAAGCAGTTAAGCATTCTGAGCATTTGTTCTTTACCAGTCTCAAAAAGAAATATCCATTACAAAGATTACATTCATCAGATAAAGCAATCATTCTTCACTTAGAATACTCTAATTAAACCCAATTAAATTATTCAAGTTAAATGCACAAAGTAAAAACCAGTGACCTAAGCTACTAACTCAAGTAGCCATGAAATGAGCTCATCTCAAACAGATAAAGTTGAAAGGATGTACTTGGGGGGGAGGGGGGGCGGGAAAGATGAAAATCAAAATATTAAAATAACAATTCAAGAAGATGACTAAGCAGTATGTATTGTTTCCTAAATAAAAACTGTAATATCACCAATGCTGATCTCACAGGTGCTCACATCCCAGACAAGTCTCTTAGGCACCTGCCAAAACACTTGGCTTCTCTATGACAACATCCAGAATACATTGACTTCCTGCCACCAAAGCACAATACATGAATATAACTAAATCAAACATACAATTAGTTTTATTTATTTTTCAGTGCTATAAAGAAGGAAAGTTTGTCTCAATTATCAGGGTGGGAGGAGTGCTACATAACTACAGTGTGCCTGCTTCATAATGTGGTCGAACATGTTGCCTATTACAGGTATACCTTGCCAGTATTATGCATTTAAAACCACCAAGTCAGAATGCAAAAGCACTTGTGAAAGTGCAGAGGAAGTGTACAAGAACAAAAAGTTCAGATTAGTATGACTATCTCTCCTATGACCTAAAATTTCAAGGCTAGAATCTTACCTCAGACTGCAAAGCATTCCAGTGAAGGAGTGGTAAAGACTTTCTACAGTAAATGATGGTTTCATTTTCCATCTTGAAAGCAAGTTTGGCTTTCTCAGATTACACTAATATGCTCTCACTTTCACAGAAGCAAGGCACGTTCCAGAGGACACCATTAATAACATAAATAAGCATAACACAAAGATACTCTGTATCTGAATTAGCAACTTGCACAGGAGAAAGTTATGGACAACAGGAATAACCTGTGACATTTTCCTGGCACCTTAAGACTCCTATTAGCAGTATCTTTCAATTGTCCCTCTACATTTAGACATGAAGGAATTTTTCAGAATATAGTTAGAATCCTAAACTTCAGCTGCAGATTTAGAAAGTCCAGGAAAAATGCAAATAAAAAGTAACAAACCTTTCTGCTGCACTGGCAAAGCAAACAGGACATGTTGCTGTGCATCCAGCTTTTTCACACTTTCTATATTTCTTCTCTGACGCTTCATCATCATCATCTGCTGCTTCAGCTGCTTTCTTCTTCACCTAATAAAGAATAGCTGGAATCTGACCATAAATGACACAAATGCGTCTTCTACAAAACAGCATTCAGACAGTTTTGCAGCTTGTGAGTGGCATCCCGTAGTTAAAACAATCCTAATGAAAATCTTTGTAGCCACTGTGAACTAGCTGCACCATGAAACAGCTGTCAAATTAGGTCAGATTTTTCCACTAAAAAAACAAAAACAAAAAAAATCCACCAAAAAAATCCCAAAGCCCATAGTAAGACTGGAAATATAATTTATATCTAAAAATTTCTTGCCTTGGTCTAATTGATGGCACTGAAGAAATTATAAGCAAAGCTTCCACTTTAAATAGTATTTTAAGCTCCATCATGTGTTAATGAGTCAAGCCTCATGCATTCATTTTATTTCTCCTTCAGAAAATCTCCTCTTTTAAAATACTTATTGGTATTAATTACAAGTAGCAATCCTATCTGTGCCTCAAATAAAATATTAGGGTAGATTTTTTTGGATACAGGCATTTTTTTTTTTTATACAAAACTGTATACCAAATGTCTCTTCTGGGCATCAAAGGTACTGTGTATTATGCTGTTTTAGGTCTCTGTGTGGACAGGCAGACAGCTTTGTCTGACTGTACAGAAATCTGTGATTGTATTTTTAACACATTAAGTACTTACGGGTTATATAGAATATTTATCTTTTCTGAATATTTTTTGCAAAATGAAACACTTGACCTCCTTATTCACGAAACTAACTCGTTCTTCTCTGTGGATAAGTAGTCTAGGACCTGACTTACCCACAAGGAAGCCCACTTTCTTTGCAAATGTCAACAGAAAATGAAAAATAGCAAAGTACAAACTCACATGTTTTTAAATTATTATAAATACCTGTCTTCCAGAGCTCCTCACAGGAAGGCTGTCTGGAGACTGATCTGAAGAACATGCCTTTTTCTTCGTTCGAACCCTTCCCGTTGACATTGTATTGTTAGATCTGAAAAAAGGTAGGCAACAGTTAATTAATTTAAATTGCTTGACTTTGCAGAGCTAATCACAGCCACTCACATTACTACTTTTCACAGAGTTACCTAGGTAAGAGTCTGTTCAGCTTGACTCTTAATGCAAGAGGAAAATGGGAATGAGGCATTACTGGAAAGGAACAATACTACTATTTTAAACTAAATTTGTTGTTAAGATTAAATCCCTGAGTACCTCTTGACAGGCTGTTCCAGATCAGCATATCCTGGATTTCAATAATCTGATTTGCATTACGTGAAGACCTGGACTGGAATTTGGGTTGGCAAAGTGAACAGACATCAGCTCAATGCTGATGCAAGCATTCAAATACTACTTGGAGTAACGCTCATCCCGCTAACTACTGATTTATTGGCAGCAAGAGATTTGCACTGTAGAGCACTTTTCCAAACAGTGTACTGAAGAGACGTTTAATACCAGATGAGCAACCAGTTCCAAGACTTGCACAAGCTCCTATGAAAAGAGATCAGAATTTGAAGTCTGGACTGCCATTATATTGCACCTGTGATTGGAATATTACAAAGTTTGTTGTTAGGTATTCTACAGGACAAAGTAAAATATTTACAGCATTGAGAGCACTCTGTAGCTGTCTTTGACTGCATTGGCAGGAGCACAGAATGGACCACAGTTAACCACACAACCTGGAAACCATAGAGTGTGAGAAAGTATGATTCAGAAATATGAAAGCATATTTAAAATCAAAGGCATTCTTTTCACAGGGAGTAAAGCACAAAGACAGCCTAGAGGAAGAAGTAAATCTAAAGAGTGCTCTACAACGTACATAAAAGTGGAAATTAACCCCTTGTACTACAACACTGCATCATGAATGTTATTTTGTTGTAATAGGGATCAGTTTGTAATTATGTTTTTGGGAGCGTTTTTTTAATACATATATATATATGACACTTCTCAAATCTCCCTCTTTCAGGATGTAATTTCATTATTCAACCTGTCAGTGATGGACAAGGCAGCAGTATCTTCGTTCAGAAATTCCATTAAAAGTCAAGGTAACAGGTGGAGAGTGGGAATTTTTACAAAATTTTATATTAAGCTGATTCAAGTCAAGTAAACTGGTGCTTCATTCTCCTCTCAAGATAGGAGAAATTATACATGAGAGGAAGAGAAATCATATGAGGATATCCACACATGAGAAAAATTAGTTCAAAAAACCCAATACAAAATTAAAGTTTGTTTCTTGCATGTATCAACTCCAATTACTACTAGCCAGAGGCAGGAAAAAAGTTATCATCAATCTCTATTGATCTCTGAAAAAAAAAAAAAGAAGGAAAAAAAATTAGCATCACTTACCACTGTATGGGGGTGAATGAGGTTGGAGAGTAAAGAAAACCAACCAGTTTCATTTACATGAGATTTCCCTAAACTGCTGCATAATGCCCCAGAAAATGGTGGCTTTTTCCCCCTAGAGCTTTCTTTATCTATCAGCGGCACAACAGTATCTCTCTCTGTGTCACCTAATCTTCTGATGGTAAATAATTGTTCTGACACGCCATGGTCCTTACAGCTGAGGCTTCCAACTGAGCAAGGAGTGCCAAGCAAGGCACCAGGTGAATAATTTTGGTGACCATCAGGTGATCACAGTCTGCTGCTGCTGTGGGGCCCTTTTATCTAAGAAGGTAAAGAAGAACATGTGAATTTCGCACTATGTATGTGGGGAGTAGAAAAAGTGTCAATTACCAATTATTAGGAAGTTTGGTAAAAATATTTCAGATTCAGAGAGGCTGCCCATTTTGAAAGGCAGAGGTCAGTTTTGCAGAATTGCAGACATATTTTTGCTCTTACCCCTACCCCTTCATAGGGGTAAGAGGGAGGTGGAGAGAAAGGGAGAAAAGATCAGGTGTATGATACTTTGTACCCACTTCCCCTGACAAACCAAAAAACACCCTCCCAAAAAAACCACAAATTTTTATAGAACAACCTAGAACAAACAAACACGGCTTACTCTACCAAGCTTTACATGACTTTGCATCCTATCCTGTAGACATCTTACTGGCTGAGAAAATAAGCCCTTTAAAAGGAGAGGGATGCATAATACGTGAATGTCACATTCAATAACGTTTCATCCGTCTGTAATGCGTGGCCTATATCGGAAAGCTTTGTGGGGTTTACCTGCACAGTTGGCAGCAAGTTTGTCTTTGGGGAAGAGAGGAAAAAAAAATTAAGAGAAGAAACCACACAGACACACACTGTCAGAGACGGGGAGGAAGCGAGAGCAGCCTGATTAACACGGCGAGTGCACACACCTCTAAAACTCAGCCCGAGTCAAGCGGCGGCGCCCAGCCCCGCCGGCCGCGGCTGACAGCGCCCGCCCCGGGCCGCGGCAGTGACAGCTGGCGGCGGGCGGGGGTCCCGAGGGGCACCCCCGGGGCAGGGGACACCCGCGGCTGGGCTGCCCCGGAGCCGGGCGGCGGCGGTCCCGGCGGCGGGGCAGGCGCTGCGGTCGGTGCCTGGCACTCACCTCGGGGCAGGGTCACTCGGGGGCCGGAGACCACATTCACGCGTGTCCGCGCCGCCTCCTGCTAGAGCTGCAGCGGGGAAAAAGGGTGGAGAAGGGGGAAGGAAGGGAGGGAGTGAGATAGAGACGGGGGAAGAGTGAAGCGGGGAGGTGAGGACGGGGGCAGCGCTGGCACCTGCCCCGCCAGCCCGGGGAGGAACAAGCGGCCCCGCGGTGGGCGCTGCAGCTGAGGGAGGGAGTCACTCACCACCACCGCCGCCGCCATCCCCACCGCCATCCTCCTCCTCCTCCCCGGTGCCGTGCACCGTCAGCCCGCCTCCTCCTGCCGCTGCTTCCGCTCTCCGCGGTGCGTAGCGAGGGGGAGGGCGGGGAGGCACCGCCCCGGCCCCGTCGCCCTGGCGGGACCCGCGGCCGTGCAGGTACCGCGGCTGCCGCGGCCCGGGCGGGGGGCGCCGAGCGGGGCGGCGGGGGGGCGGTGCTGAGGCGGTGCTGAGCCCCCACGGGTCACGCCGCCGGTCCCACGGCCCCAGCAGCCGCTCGCCCCCGCCTTCTGCCCGCGGGTTTCACGGGAGAGAAATGTCGGCATCTCCCTCCTTCGTTACCGGGGTAGGGGGGCTTCTCGATGGGTGCGAAAAGGGAGGCCACAGGCTGGACAGGCCACAGGCTGGACAGGCGCCTTCAGCGCCCCGGGAAACGGGGTCTGGCCGAGTCTGTCGGGAGCCCGGAGTGCGCTGATGGCTGGGTCGCTTTCCATACATTGCGACTGTCACCAAATGGTGATCTCTTGAGATCTACTAAATTTTTGTCCGTTTCGAGGAAGTAAGAGGCAGTTCCAAACTATGCATTGGGTAAGGATAATTCTTCTCTCTTTTTCCACAGCTACGAGCACTCCCTGGAGACATGGACCACTCAGCGGATGCATCCGGGCTCCTGGAAGCCTCTGATGTTGGGCCTCAGAAAGACAGAGTGGTGACAGAGGAGGAATGGCTAGAAAAATGGGAAATGGGTAACATCGGGTTTCACAAGGAAGAAGGGCATCCGTACGTGACTTCACTCTTCTGCCTAAGCTGTTTTAAGTAATGCCATGAGATGACTGGCTTGGCTCATTCGAGAAACTCTTAATTGAAAATGGACCATTTGCAAAAGCAAATTATCTTACATAGGCACTGCTTGAAACAAAAATTAATATAGATATTTTTGTGACCTACATTTGTCAAAGGACAGAGAAAAGAAAGTATTGAATTAATTTAGAGCTTTTACTCTTGAATCAGGTTTTAAACCTTAGAGCTTGGACAGTTTGGCTAGAAAATCTTAAATTTTCTGATGGAGATGCTTTGCACTTTTGTTCATGTGAAACTGGACCTTGAAACTATGTGCAGAGGACACCAGAGCAACTACCATGCAGTAAAACACAAGGACCTAGGAGAAAAAACCTGATTATGTAGTCTTTCAAGACCTGTAAAAGTGATTTGCTTGATGCGGAAGTTTCATTATCTTTCTGTTTAAAATCTCTATTATAACCCTCTTAGAGGTGGGTTGGTTGGATTGTTTAGTTGCAAAGACAAACAGAAAATAGAACAAACAGAAATGTGTTGATTTCTGAATTACTGAAATTGATTGAAATTGAAATTAATTCTGAATTAATGAAATTGATTTTCTTGCTGTGTAAGTGGAAAGTGAATGCTATTATTTTATGGTTTTATTTCTAACGGCATGAAGAAGGTTGAGCTAATAACACATGTGCCATTGTGCAGTTTTCATGCTACCTGGGATAGAGTGTAGCACTTGGCTTTTCATGTGCCAGCACAAATACTCACAGAGTTAAGTGAAACGTGTCTGTTCTTCTGCAGGCTTCTCCAAAAGTATCTGGATGTTCTTTTAAATGGCAGGAGTGGACTGAGGATATTTTTCCCACTTTGTGGTAAAGCAGTAGAAATGAAATGGTAAAACACAGATAATAAGAGCAAAATCTTACTTGATGTGGAGAGGGAGGGAGCGAGGGAGGGAGAGGGGGAATTCCCGACCTCATATAGGCCAGTGGAAATGTGGCACATTTCCACTGCTAGGAAAGCAGTGTCACTGGAAGCTGAAGGGAGGAGGAAACTGGTGTTTTGTATAGTGGCATAAATTGAATGGATAAGGTCTGATCTGAAAGTCCTACTGATTGTCCCAAGTTCAGCTTGGGGAATGCTGAATTTAGATGGACAGAGTGACTGAATCTATGTCCTTGCCACTGCTACTTTCCATAGCAATGCCAGCTTAAATTGCCCACAATGAGGTCAGTTGTGTCAGATATTTTCAAGAGACCATGTGGCATGCCACTGGAAATTTAAGTGATTTGGGCTAAATGTAACTTCCTCCTTTTTTTTTTTTTTTTTTTTTTTTTTTTTTTTTTTTGGGAGGGGGGGACGTGCAAGGAGGGAGTGTTGTATTTAAAACCTAGGGCCTATATAAGCCAGTACTTTTTCTTGGAGGGAGGGAGCACAAA